GATTATCTCGAGACTACTGTGAGAATGAGCGCAACTCCCCGTGTCTGATTCCACCGGCCTCCTTCTACTTCTTCCAGTCGGGTGACTCGTTTGTCATGTACGTCAGAGGACAGCCAAGATCACACGAGAGCCCGCGCCTACTTTGTGTCTAGCTAACAAGCCCTGCGCGCCCTCTCCCCCCCCTTTTTTTTTCCTCCTCGCCACTTTCGCCTCGCTGCCCTCTTAAAGAGTCGCTGCCGAGCTGCTTGAGTGGCGTTCCTCCTCTTCTTTCTCCTTCTCCAAGTGGTTGTTTTCGCTTCGCGGGTCCGATTCAAAGGAAAGCTGCGGGCTAAGGCCATCCCCGGCACTCTCTCAGTGCACGTTTATTTTCTGTCCCCATCCCACACCAGTCGTTGGTTTAGTCAAACACGCGCAACACACAACTATGAAACTGTGAAGGCCAGATGTGGGAGTAAGGTATACTGTATGCGCAAGTCATAAGTCTCGATCTTTAATGTTTTCAAAGCAAGTCACTGCGGTAAAAAAGTCGTCAAGGTGTCAAGGGGATAATGGTAACTGCGGGAAAAGTTTGGATGTGGAAACCTCGCCCCACCCTCCTCGAGGGTGTGATGCTCCTGCTTCTGCTGCTATGGCCACCATACATTATCCTTTGCATATCTGGGTCCAGCTTGCGAGGAAACCCAGGCTCCCCATTGTCTGGACTTGATCCACTTCTAGCAGCCTGACTGTGAGAAATTATCCTTTCAGCATGTCCTAGACCTTGACAATTATTTTACCCCACCGGGGGATACGACAGTTTGATAGTCGTCCTTCCGCCGTGTCCACCTCTCTCAAGATTTCTTGTCCGTGGTACTCAGGTCACAGTCCTATACGGATCCCGTTCAAATTTGGTGTGGTTTTAAGAGCGCTACAGATGTCAACATAGGCCTCAAATGATACGTCTTTGATTCTGTCTGCCCTTTGGGTGGGTGTTTTCCCTTGACCATGCATTTCTTGCTTTGGCTTGAGCCAGGATCCGTTTGGTAGACCACAGCACGTGACTATTACCGTATTGGCCCGAATATAAGACGGTGTTTTTTTGCATTGAAATAAGACTGAAAAAGTGGGGGTCGTCTTATATTCGGGGTCTAGACGTTATACCCATTCACGACGCTAGATGGCGCCAGATATCATTGAAGCGAATGCTGAACTTGACTCCCCAAGCCAAAGTGAACCCCTGTCACGAAGAATAAAAATAAAAATAGCGGTAGCACGAAGAAGAAAAATAAAAAATAGCGGTAAGAAAGAAAAGAGAAGACAATAATAGAAGAGATAACAGAAAATGGAGAAACGTAGCGACAATCTGGACAAAAGTGGGTCGAAGATCGGCCAGGTTAACCGGCAGCTGAGGAGAAGTTATGATGTAATTTACATTTCAAAAACCAGAAGCCATTCATTTACGAATGTGATTGCACTTTAGTTTACATATTTGAATGTTCAGATATTAAGATTTGAATGAGGCAAAATAACATGCTTTTTCTCTCAAATATATTGTTCGAATCATTTCTTTCAGATATACTGAAATTATTTTCTGTACAAAAATTAATTTCACGTTCAAAAAGTATTTTTTCAAACTTTAGTCTTGAAAAAGAGGGGGTCGTCTTATAATCAGAGCCGTCTTATATTCGGGCCAATACTGTAGATCTGTTCTTGTTTTGGATTTTTTTGTGCTGCTGAGCTTTTTGTTTCTTGGCCCTCTTTATTGTTGTTGATGAGGAGGATGATGAAGCTGCTTTAAAATCCAGCAGCTGTCAGACCAGCGGAGCCGGATATCCTTTTTTTCCGACGACTTTTGTGCTTGAAGAAAAGAACAAGTCGGGAAATTTGCCAACATCAAGAGCTTCCTTCAAATGAGGAAGGCGTGTTATATAACGCAATGACTGGAGGGAGCGGCAAAGTAGAGCGCAGGGGTAGATTAAAAAAAAAAAAAAGTTACCGCATTAAGAGAGAGTGGTAGGAAGGGCGGTGTGAAGGGCCAGGCTGCATGGTAGCTTCAACCTCTCAAGGCTTCCCTCCTTTCATTTCCATAATGGAGTGCCGCCTTAATTGGCCGAATGCGGGCTTTTTTTCCAACTGCCTTTTGTTTGCCGACACGTCTGCGTGAAATTATTTCCACTACATTTACAGCGTAGCATTCCTCCACGCGCTCATTAAAACTAACGCACCTTCCCTGACTGGCCGGGCTGCAGCGAGGAATAAAACACGTTTATCTCCCGCCTCGCCGTCCCCACTCGCCTTGTAAAGCAGGCCAACTCCTCCCGTTATTTTTTTTTTCCTGCCCTCATAAAGCTGCTCGCCTGCCAGTTTCTCGCTTAGCCCAAAGAGTTACGTCCGGTGTGCCTTTCTTTAAATTGCGCCTGCTTGTTATTGGAATCTGCCATTATTGTTCCACCTTCTCACAGTTGGATGTCCGCTCCGGCAGCTCGTTAGCACACGCGCTAACGGTAACGACGGCACACCCGCTAACAGTTAAGCGGCGCGCGAGCGCATTACCGGCGCGGCTCATCATGGCGTTGCACCGGGGAGCCGGGCTGCATGTTTGCAAATGATGTTCGTCTGGAGTCTGCTTGTTTGTCGGCTCTTAAAGCGCACTTGCAAAACTCAACCTCAGTCCATCTGCTGCGATCTGCGGCGTCGGTGCGAGAAGATTATTGACTTTAAGAGCTACAAGTCGCCTCGCAATTCAAGGCGAGGCATTCCAAAAATACATGTACACTCCCTTTAATCCGGCACTGCTGAGTGGCTATGTGTTAGCGTTACAATACAATACGCTACATCTTTATTTATACATTGCCCAAAATCATGTATTTAAACTGGAATGAGGTTTCACGAAAACAAACGACTGTGAACAGAAGAATAATAGTAAGCGTGTTTTTTGGAGTCCACTAGTTCACAACTGAAGGACTCCAGTCAACACAGATCTGAAGCACAAGTCAGGAACTGTGCTTCAGATATTAATTTAATGATTCACGGGGAAGCATGTTTTCGGTTAATGAGCACCGTTTCTGAGAACTGCTTCACATCTCTGTTGCATGGAGTTAAAAGCAAGTACAGTGTGACCTCTACTTATGAAATTAATCGGATCTGGAAGAATTTTTTTTTCCTTGAAAATGTTGTAAGTAGAGACACTTTTTCCATATAAATGTCCTAATCCGTTCCAAGCCCCCCCACCCCCGCCTCCCAAATTCAGACATAAATATTTTCTAAAGCATAAAAATGCATGAAAATATGTAACAAACACATGTTACAATTAGATGATTGCGCAATAAATGAGAGTTGTGCATCATGTAAAAAACCAAGAGCGTAATTATCATTTATCTGAATGTGGGAAGCCGCAGCAACTGTATGAACCAGCTTTTGGGGAATTAGTAACATCCAGATTTGTCGAGACAGGTTAAAAAATGTTGACTTTAACTTTCATGATACCTCTGATGCACTGATGAGCTCAACGGTACAAGCAAAGATACTTTAGATTTCTGTTACTACAACGCCATACAAAATATAAACTAATTTTGTGATTGTTCTGTTGACATTCAGTCATTGAGTGACATATTCCAGGTCGTAAAGCGTCATCGGGGAGAAGAATCAGCGGTGGCGTTGAGGTCAAAGTTTGTAATGATCAGAAGAGGACGATCAATGGATTGATCGTCCTCTTCTTCTGGTGCTTTGTAACGATCGCCGTGGACTTGGAAGGCGAAGGGGGGTGAGGGGGGGTTGCGATCCTTTGGGGACGCTGTGATCTACAACATCCTCCATGTTCATTAGCGCTGATCAAGGCTCTCGCTAACGGCAGGCCTGATGCGCCGTGACGGCTGCTGTTGCGTCGGTACGCGGGGCACCGCCTCCGTGATGCCCCGTGATCGCGTTGGCACGTCTCCAATGGCAGCCACTTTGATCTCCGCTAAATCAGTGATTCACAACTGCCGCGGGGACTGATCCAATTGCATTTAATTGGTCAGGAAATGATTATTTATTTACTAGCAAGAATGTGTTTTTGTTCAGAGCAAGATTGGAGGACTTAACTTCTGCCTTAGCCCGGCTGGGCAATTATACAGTATGGTCGCAACTGGTGATCGATAGATTTCAGGCCGGTTACGAGAATCAGCTGTGAACATATTTACTTGATCGGATGTGGCAGAAATGTGCATGACAACAGCCAGTTGACCTTCTCCTGCTCTAGTGTCGTTTGCAAGTTGAAGAAGAAGACGGAAAGATCATTGTAAAAAGTGAACAACGAAAGCTGAGGGCAGCAAAATAGTTTCCAAATGGCCAGCGTTTCCCGTTTGTCTTGTTAACGGCAGACTTTCAGCTTGAATTTGAAGAGATTTACATCCAAACCGGGTGAAGGGTGAAAGAATTACAACAGATTCCCACCACTTTTTTATCGTAGTGAGAGAAATGAACAATCGGAAATCAAACCTTCACTTTTTTTTTTATAGTTGGTTGCACATCCTTTGCAGTCAATTACAGCCTGAACTCTGGAACGTATCAACATGACCAGACGCTGGATCTCATCCCTGGAGATGCTCTGCCAGGGCCTCGACTGCAACTGTCTTTACTTCCTGCTTGTTGTTGCTTGGGGGCATTTTTCCTTTCGGTTTCGTCTTCAGCGAGTGTATGTTCAATCCGATTCATTTCAGGTGATTGACTTCGGCCTTTGCACGGCATTCCACTTCTTTGCCTTCAAAAACGCTGCGGTTCCTTCCACGGTATGCTTGGGGGTCATTGTCTATCGGCACTGCAAAGCGTTTTGTGACGAATATGAGCTGATAATCAGGTTGCTTGAGATGCTCGAACTCATCCTGTTGCTTTTCTGAGCAGTCACATCATCGCTAAACACATAAGAGCCAGTTCCATTGGCTTCACTGATGAGGTGGGAGTAAGTCAAGTAATTTCCTCGGCTGCTCTAACTCAATTTTCTTTTTTGTTTTCTTTTTATTTTTCTGCCATCTGTCTCCCAGGGTAACCAAGAGGCCGCCAACCCCCCGGACGCCATGACCCAGCCCTGCCCCCACAGACCGGCACCCCCGCCGAGTTCGCCGCGCCGCACCCCCTCCCCACGCCCGACTACAGCGGGCAAAGCCGCGTGGCCGAACACGCCATGACGCTGTACACGCCCACGCCTACGCACAGCGAGCCGGCGCCGGGCACCGACAGCAGCACCCCCAGCATCGCCGCCCCCGCGTCCGTACCGGTCAGTGTCGCTCAGCACCTGCAAACACTCTTCTCCACTGGCCACCAGCAAGTAAACACCTTTCACTCTTCTTTCTTGACTTTTAACCACGTCATTCTTAACACTCGCTTTTTCCTTACAGTTGACATTTGACCTGTGTGGGGGTGGGCTTGGTGGGGGGTCGGGGGGGGGGGTACCTTGGCCTGTTGATTTTGCTTTGTGCTGCCAGCTCAAATTTCCATTCGGAGCTAGCTTTAGATATGTTGAGTTAAATGGACAGCAACACTCACTGATTCACTTAAGCAGTTTTATGTTTTGTTGGACAGGAGAAGAAGTCAAACACACCAATACAAAATAGAAGTACTGTTAGCATATCAAACCATCCATCCATTTTCTGATCCGCTTAACCTCACAAGGGTCGCAGGGCATGCTGGAGCCTATCCCAGCAGTCTTCCGGCAGTAGGTGGGGGACACCTGAACAGGTTGTCAGCCAATCGCAGGGCACACAGAGACGAACAACCATCCGCGCTCACACTCACACCTAGGGACAATTTAGAGTTAACCCGCCACGCATGTTTTTGGAATGTGGGAGTAAATCAGAGTACCCGGAGAAAACCCACGCAGGCACGGGGAGAACATGCAAACTCCACACAATTCTATGTATACAATTAAATTGATGGAGAAAGTAGAGTCGTATAAAGTTAAAAAAAATGTAGAAAGCATTTCCCAGTTCATAAGACTCCATGCAACACAGATGTGAAGCAGAAACTGTGCCGGTGCAACCAAATCTAAGTTCAGTTCTTGAGCGGAAATACGTTTTTCTTCCCCCTTGCATCGATCATTGCGTTGCCATATCCAAAGTCGGTAAGTGAAAATATTAGAACGGAGTTCACATGTCCCAAAAGTTGCAGTCGATGCAACACAGATGTGAAGCAGTTCCCAGAAAAATATGCAAGTAAATATTTGTTCACCATCTGATAAAAAGGATCATTTCGATTCACCGCACCCATTTCAATATTGTTAAAACATTGTAATGTCGTTTCTCTGCAATTCCAAGGCCTTTTTTGTATAAATGTATTGATATATTTATTTTTCACCCTACGACTCTTTGATATAGCCGTCTTATGGAATACACACTTTATAACCTTGCGCCTCATTAAGATTTCAACTGAAAACATTCATAAATAAACAAAAGATGTATAAATATATATCATTGCATTGGATCTGAACCCTCACCGTGCTGAATATATGCAACACAAACACGCTTTTATGCATTCATACTTGAGTACTTGCAGCAGTCACGTGACTCCAAGTGTGTAATTTTCTGCTTACTTTTGCATGAGAAGCAGAAATGTGCATTAATGCCGGCCACGCCGGAGAGCCGAGCGCCGTTATCGGGGGTGTTGCAGTCCACATGAATGATTTAGGGGCTTCCTGATCTCTCTCGTTGTGGGGGGGGGACGGTATGGGTGTGTGCGTGAGCGTGTGTGTGTGAGGAGGGGGGTGGAGGTGGTGGGGGGTCTCGTTCCTGCAAGTGCGGGTGAACACTCATCGAACATCCTGGGAGCTGATGTTAGCAGAATGTCTGGCTCGTTCGTGGTGCAAAATCTGGATTTTTAAAGTGAAAATTGTTTATGTGAAAAATATAAAATAACTTACTGTGAATAGGAATGAATGAGTTCTATGCATATCTGTGGCATCCAAAATCATCACTCTTTAAGGAGAAAGTGCTTCGAAACCAGAAAACGCAGCATTTGCTGGTGCCGTGGCTTCCTGTATTCGGATAATACATTTTCAACATTTAAAATGATAAAATTGACCGTCGCACATGTGTATTGACCAATCGTAGAGATGTTTCGGAAAAATGTGAAATTTACCAAATTGTGACAAAAGAGATTCTTAACTTGACACCAGTGATTTGTACATTTGTGGATATTTCAACATTTAAAATGATAAAATTGACCGTCGCACGTGTATTGACCAATCGTAGAGATGTTTCGAAAAAATGTGAAATTTACTGAGTTGTGACAAAAGAGATTCTTAAACTGACCCACGTGATTTGTACATTTGTGGATACAGTATTTTCACTGTGTGTGTGTGTGTGTGTGCGTGTGCGTGTGCGTGTGTGTGTGTGTGTGTGTGTGTGTCTGTGTGTGTATGCGCCACCACGGAATTGGCCTTTTTAAGCGGCGGGCGAAGCTCCTGCTTTCCACAAAGCAGTCCTCCTTTGCAGGTTTGCGAATTTGTTTCAATTCTGCATTTGCATTGGCGCTACTTGAAATACTTTTGACCCGCGGCTCACCCCGGGCGGTGGGAAGATGGAGATAAAAGCCGAGACGTTTCACGCCGCTAAAGCTCAGCAAAGCGTCCGGAAAGAAGAGTAACGTCGATGGAGCTGAGAACCTTAAGACCTGCTGGCTACTCTTGTCTCTCTTAAGGTGGGAAAACACCTGCCGAGAGAGGTCGAAGCTTGGCTGCCGCCTTATCTGGGTCAGGCGCACATACACACGCGCACACGCACACTCGCACACGCACGCACGCCGGCTACGAACCGTTAGCTATTAGCTGCCCTCTTTCGGGATCGCAATTACCTCGACATGTGGTGTGCATGAAAGCGTATTCTGTGCTTTGACTTAATGACTTAATGCCACGGAAATACAAAGCTACCATTCTACAGTGAACTCGCGATGGATTCATTACAGTTCCCCTCACAATTCTGCCATCGAGACCATATAAATATTGTTTAAATAGTTACTCCTGTATTTTAAACTCATTGAAACACGCTTTGACATATAAAGTCCCTTTTTAAAGTATTCCTAAGCGAAAATGCTCGGCTAGCATAACATTACTTTGAGGAAATGAAAAGACTCGCTCGCTTTGCAGTGCTCCGAAGAAGAGGCACAGCGTGCTTTGCATCAAGCTGTTTATTTGTCAACCCCACTTGATTTTTACAGTAAAACTGACAACGTAAGAGACTTTAACAATGTATATTTTAAAACCAGTATCTTCAACGAAACTATGTAAATTCCTATGCGTCCGCTAGCTAAGAATCAAAATAAATGCCATTACACCCCGACCAATGCGGCGCACAAAATAACAACTTAAATATTTTTTGATTTTTAGGATAAGTGTAACACCAATTTTTGTCATTTTGTTTTTCAGAAAATAAAGGATGCATTTCCCGTACAAAAAAAAAAAAAATCCGGGTACAAATATGTTACGAAAACAACAAAACAGCTGAAATCTTTTATTTTTTGGAAAGGATATGTTGATATCAGCACAGGATAAGTCCTGTGCTGCAAAATCACAATATAAAATCATGTTACCAAAACTGACCTAAAATTTTAAGGAAAGTTAAACACCATGTAATTGGTCCTCTTTTTAGGAAACAAAAGATTTATCTTCCAAACTGAATATTCGGATTATTAAAATATGTCCCGTCACACCCGTCCCGATGTAACAGCTTGTGTTCTTTTTTGGAAGGTGCAACGTAGAATAGTTCTTGTCTTCTGAAAAAAATTACAGACTGTCTACCACTACGCCAAAAGGCGTTAGTGCCATCTCGGAATACTAATGCCGAAAACAAATCTGGCAACAACAAATCCCTTTCACTATTCTCGTCTACGCCTTTACGGCTCACGATGCAGTTTAACACGTCGAGCCATGGCGCCTTGTCGGCTTGGTTTGATTTACAGTGCTCTGTTACACGGAGCTTTAATGGCAGGGGCAGCCCGTTTGCTTCGGGTGCCGCTGCCACACGAGCCCGAGCGCCTTTTGATTTCCGAAGCGCAGATTGAAGGAGCGGATTCTCAACAGAGACCCCCCGTCTCTCCATCCTCCCCGCCCCACCACCACCTCACCACCTCCCCTCTTTGCTGCTCCCTTGACGCCACTTTACTCTGTTCAGCTCTTCGACTTTTAGACTTAAAAAGAAGCGAGAAGGTTCTCTGACGTTTGTTTTAACGAGTCCTCCCTCCTTTCGTCCCTGGCTGGCTCGCCATTCCTCAGCGTATCCTCATCTGCCCTGCAGAACCGGACCTCGAGGGCAGCCATCGCCAACCACTGTGCCAAGGAAAATATTGCACTTCTTATACCTATGCCAGTTTTTACACAGTGTATATGTATACAGGATATTTTATGAATGGCAACAGGTAGATACTCGGGTTAATTGTACCTTCTGCTATCAAGTGAAAGAGCATTTCACTATATGTTGCTCGTATAGATAGATGAACAAATATCCCGTACATTATAAAGTGGTGTCTTGACATGAGTTACCCAACTTATGAGTTTTTCGAGACACGGGCTCTCGTTTGGCCATTTGTTGGCTTGGACTTGCGAGCAAAAATTTGAGATACAAGCGCTATTTGGCGGCAGTGCACTCAAGTTGCTTCTCAACAAGCGGTAATTTGGCAGATGTCATAGAAAAGGGCAGTTTAGCTTAATGCTAACAAACAATGCTAAACGACTTACAGGGGCTAACTAATAGCAATGCTAGCTAAACAATGAATACAACACAAAGAGTGGAGCAACACATGAAGAAGGCAACATTGCAAGACTCACAGGCAGTATATACAGTATATTTTTTATGGTCTGCGAAAAATATTACTGCGGCTTACTGAGCAATTAGGACTGTCACCTTAAGTGTATATCCGTATGTCTGTGTCATACTGCCCACAGGTGGACATGACATGCACACCAGAAGGAGCAGCACAATGTCTATTGAATTAGTTGCTTCTCAACAAGCGGTAATTTGGCAGATGTCATAGAAAAGGGCAGTTTAGCTTAATGCTAACAAACAATGCTAAACGACTTACAGGGGTTAACTAATAGCAATGCCAGCTAAACAATGAATACAACACAAAGAGTGGAGCAACACATAAAGAAGGCAACATTGCAATACCCACAGGCAGTGTATATATATATATTTTTTTATGGTTTGTGAAAAATATTACTGCGGCTTCCTGAGCAATTAGGACCGTCACCTTGGTGTATATCCGTATGTCTGTGTCATACTGCCCACA